TTGAATTACAAGTGCTTCGATATTAAAATTAAAAAGTTTAAATATAAAAAAAAATAGTGGCTTGGGATTTGAACCGCCGACCTTACGTACCAACGGCGGCGAACGGTAAGGCCACGAGACCAAACTAGCATATATGATGACAAACTTAAATTTGATGTTGGTTTTATCTACCTAATATCTGTCATCCGCGTCGAACACTTTTAGTAAATTTTGAAAAATGGTTTGATGCAAAGTGTCAAATGAATGTAACAGAAATAGTTTATTTCAAATTGTATCACAAGTATATAGAGATAGAGTTCAATTTTGTCAAATGTACCGATATTTTTGCGCACCTTGACTGCTTCGTTACTTATGACGCTGTGGCTGCTACGATATTTATGAGCATCTTGCATGTACTCATATATTTGACGCTGTGTATGTACCGATGTTTTTGAGCAGGGTGAATGTATCTATTATTTTGAGGACTTTTGTTGTACCGATATAATTGATTACTTTTGATGTACCTATATATTTGCATATCTTGTCTGTGACGATCTATATGACGCTGACTGTACACAATGTCAACAACTCACACTGTTTATAAACAATGAAAAATTTTAATGATATAAGATTTTAGCTCATGATCGCAACCAAGCTAGAGTCCCGTGTTATTGTTGTCAAATTAGTACCAATATGTAAATCAGCTCTGAACCGATTCAAAAGTCCAGCGCACATAAACTTAAGCCGTCGATCTGCGGTTCAATAACTAAATATGCAACTCACAGCTCATCGCGATGTACAGTCGGCGTCATATAGATCGTCACAGACAAGATATGCAAATATATAGGTACACCAAAAGTAATCAATTATATCGGTACAACAAAAGTCCTCAAAATAATAGATACATTCACCCTGCGCAAATACATCGGTACATACACAGCGTCAAATATATGAGTACATGCAAGATGCTCATAAATATCGTAGCAGCCACAGCGTCATAAGTAACGAAGCAGTCAAGGTGCGCAAAAATATCGGTACATTTGACAAAATTGAACTCTATCTCCATATGCTTGTGATACAATTTGGAATAAACTACTTCTGTTACATTCATTTGACACTTTGTATTAACATTATAGGTTGTCCGGAAAGTTCGTTCTGATTTTCGATATAAAGCTTACAATAGACTGTAGCTGAAGTGGATTCATTTTCGGATTTCCACCATTATCAAACGTCACAAAAATTTCTATATTGTGAATAATTTCATTTCATTGGTTGAGATAAAAACTAATTTTTAAAATTTTATCCAATAATAAAAGACGTTTTAGGTATAGAGTCGTACCAATATAATTTAAAAACATTTCCAAAAATTTAAGAGAACAGGGTTTCAATTTTCCTTATAAAGCGGCACGAACTTACTGGGCAACCCAATATTTTTCTTCTCCTGTCATAACGCTTAAATATAAAAGTTTGTCACGCCGAATATGACAGATACGTATTAAATAATATGAAATTTTGCCTTGTCACAATATATATAATACTAGATTGGCGCAGTATTCTAGTATGTTTGCCGTAATATGTAAGTTTACCGGTTCGAATCTCAGGCTACTTTTTTTTCATTTTATCAATCACGGGGTTATTTTTTCATAACCAGTAAATATTTGGTAATGTAAAATTTTGCTCGACAATTTTTTTTATAATTTTCGCTGTCGGGTGGAAAGAAATTTAAATAAAGTTAACAACAATTAGGTCAGACCATCGCGGGTGAAGTGAGTGGGCGGAGCGTGGATTGTCTTTGCGGGTTTTAAGAATGGTACGCGCGGAAACTATACGTACAAGTGTTATCTACATATGTGTGCGCGCCCACGCACACTGGAATGTTTATTGCAATCGACCAAAAATTTGATGTAGTTTGGATATTGACATTTAGTTTTTTTTCTTTGTTTCTTAAATATAATCAGTATCAGTAAAAGGTAAAAGTAAAAGTGTTATTTTTATCGGTACAAGTTTAACAAACATGAGTAATAAACAAATTACATGTCAGTAGCATCGCTTTATCTCCTTCATTTTTGTTTGAAATAGAAAAGTACTTTAACGGTCAAACTCATTAGTCCAAGGCAATATCAAAAAGTACCTAATAACTACGGCGATATAGTTAAATTACATGTGCTTCGATATTAAAATTAAAAAGTTTAAATATAAAAAAAAAATAGTGGCTTGGGATTTGAACCGCCGACCTCACGAACCAACGGTGGCGAACGGTAAGGCCACGAGACCAAACTAGCATATATGATGACAAACTTAAATTTGATGTTGGTTTTATCTACCTAATATCTGTCATCCGCGTCGAACACTTTTAGTAAATTTTGAAAAATTGTTTGATGCAAAGTGTCAAATGAATGTAACAGAAGTAGTTTATTCCAAATTGTATCACAAGTATATAGAGATAGAGTTCAATTTTGTCAAATGTACCGATATTTTTGCGCACCTTGACTGCTTCGTTACTTATGACGCTGTGGCTGCTACGATATTTATGAGCATCTTGCATGTACTCATGTATTTGACGCTGTGTATGTACCGATGTATTTGAGCAGGGTGAATGTATCTATTATTTTGAGGACTTTTGTTGTACCGATATAATTGAATACTTTTGGTGTACCTATATATTTGCATATCTTGTCTGTGACGATCTATATGACGCTGACTGTACTATAACTATTTAAGTCGACGAGCTGTCTGGTGACTAGCAGTTCGCAGCTCGAAAGACTAATCATAACTCTATGCGGGTACAAATTAAGCTGAGCTGCGAGTCGCTTCACTATACTGCTTCACACATGTGAGCCGTGATCTGATCTACAGGTCATAAATTTCAGGTGAGTTACCCATGTATACAAATTATTGATAATTAATGATGCACAAAATTGTTTTGGTCACGTGGACTGTTATTTAGACCGGGATATCTGATTAGTGTAATTGTAAATGTCAATGTCGATCACTTGAACTAATCATATGTCGTTAGTGTTGCTAAGTGTTAGAAAATATCACAAGCAAAGGTTTCGTGTGAGTGAAACTTCTGCTAAAGCTAACCCTTTTAACCTACCTCATAAAAAAAATTGCAAATTATACCCGCCATAATCTGATAAGTTATTTCGTAAAAAGCCTGTTTGAATAGTCTTTTATATTTCTTCTCAGTCCGTTCCTTTTACTATGGTACAATTTAAATGTTGCGGCAATTTTTCTAAATTAACTTTCTATTAACTTGACAGGTGTTTCAAGGAATTGTACCGGGCGTTAATCGTCTAATCGCCAATACAAGCTGCTACAGTTTTTAGTGCATGATCCGAGTTTCCATTGCCAAAATACTCGCATAAAATTTTTATTAGAGAGAATAAAGTCAATTTACTGAATATGTCGTATGTGTTTAGTTATTGGTTTCGAAATAACATAATAATGGTAAATAATAAATCCGTTCTACGCATTCAAGCCGATGTGATTTTTTTTTTAATATAAAAATATTAGCAGATTTTTCGAACGTACAATCAACACTTTTCTATGAACGCCATACATTTATTATGAATGAATTATTAATGTATTTTTGGACGGCTTCCAAATTGAAGAGGAATAGAAGTAAAATAAACACTTGCGTATATTAAAGGTAACCGGATGAATTTTCTGTAATATAAACAAATGTGTCTTATTATTTAGTGCGTAGAATATATTTTGTGGAATAGACACAAAATTAAACCAATCGTTGATTATCAATGAATTTTCTTCTTCAAACTAGATACCATATCGTTAATTATTGTTATTATAACGTAAGTCGTACTGGCTTGAACCAATTAATCAGATATCGGATTAAAGATATAGATTCACTAACTATGACGATTGTTATTCTGCAGACAGACAGACGACGTCACGTTATTTTTACCATATAACTTAATTTAGCGATTATGAAGAACTTATCACTCTTTAAAATATGGGTTTTAAAGTTAAGACTTTCAAAACAAATCGTAAAATTTTTGTTACGTTAAAAAAGGAATACCTAAAATGGCGGTAGGTATTTCTTTTGTGATATTAAATTAAAATCTTAATGATGAAATATTATGTTATATAATACAAAATTCTTAGACGGGAACCAAGAGTAATTTTTTTTTACAAAATGCAGTATACAAGTTCCCTACATAGGTGCTAACTATATCTGAGGAAACTCATATTGAAAACTATTAATGGAAGAAGTATTCCAAGAACAACGAGACAGATAAACTGGGTGAATGGTTTCAATTAATAGTAATACATTTTGATTAGTCACTTAAAAATTAATTTACTATTATTGTAGTGCGCGCAGACTGTTAACACAATGCTCTGTACAGCATGAACAAAGCCCTGAACTTTTAACCCAAGCTACGTAGTTGTTACCTACACTTCCAGCAACAAAGTTACTACCAATTTTCTCATAGCAAATCCAAATGCAAGCATTAACAAATTAGTTGAGTACTTCATTGTTTAAAATGTTCAGTTCATTAGCAAACAGAGAAAGATATGAAGATTAAGCTTTTTAGTTACTTCATTGTTATGTTTATCATGGCTTTCTACTAAAATCAGTATAATTTCAAAGCCGCCCCAATGATTTTTCACCGCATTCAACAGGCACAAACACAGGCATTACCCAAACTTAAGTTTTACACCGCAACGTTATTATTTAGCGTTTTTTTTTTGCCTAACAGTCTGTTAATAGTCCGTTACTTCTTTTTAAATTAATACAAAACAAATTGTATATAATTTTTTTTTCTGGAGATTAAAGTTTTCTTGCAATGTTTATACAATTAAATATTTTGGAAATGGCTTTGAAATTTTAACTGATACAAGAACACGGTGCAAAAGTTTTTACTAATCATGTCATTTGAATAGTGTTACTAGATACAAATTTAAAGTTTTAGGAAGATTGTTAATTTTAGTTGACTAAGTAACGTTTGTATTAAAAGAAGTCATTTAAATAATAGTGTAATAGATTAAATCAGCCAAACCTGTTTGAGTTTCTGTAGCAGCAGTGGTGAACGCAGTTGCGGTCGCGCATATTACAACGAATCCGCTCACCACTGATAATAGTCGCCGACTCCAGCTGCTAATCATGTTGGTTACAACTATGTGCTCTATTTACATAACATAAATAGATGTTTTCAAACACAATATGACGCTATAAAGCTTCTATTCCATAACAAAGAACTTCAAAATCGCATTCTATTTTAAAACTTTTCTATCCGATTTCACGATCTTCAATAGCAGACATTCCACAAACTCGGCTGTTGTTGTAAACAATTTAAATCTTTTGAACACTGACTCATTTCGCATAAAACCATATGCGATACAATGCGTTAATTTTTAAACAAATAAAGCGAAAAACTTTTAAATAATAATTTAAATCACATACTTCAATTCACTCTTGTTAATAGTCCGATTGACAACGTATAGGGTACTTTATGAATTAGCACGAAAGTTAATGTGTATTTGCGCGAGACGTGATACACTAAAGTGGTGACGCGAGTGTTCCGCGGCGCGCACTTCGTCGGAATGTCGAATCAGCGGCGCGACCAGCACGGCGCGTCTGCACGGCCTCGGTAGCACGCCACTAGACCAAGATAACACCATATACGCACCATGCATAAGAAAGAGCTGGACGATATAGAACAATGGCGCGTACTCAGCCAAAATTTTGATAATTTACTATAAATATTCAAGCAGCTTGTTACACGAATGGGTAATAAAAAACGAATCAAAATAATGACCTTAAACCATAACAAGAGCTAGTCGTAAAATTAACGTGACGTCAGCAATCAAAGACGCGGTAAAAAACTCTTTGTACAAGAAAATTTCGTATCGTTATTAATAATTAAATATTAAGTAAATTTAATAAAATCCCTGATTTAAATGGTATGTTAATAAAATAATGACCTAAACATACCAAAATTATTTTGATGCTTACTTATTTTGATAAAAGAAAATTTTCGTGAAGGAATTTCCAACCTATCCTTTACATACTGACGCTAACGTAGGTACCCACTTTTATTAATTATTATTTTTATTATTGATTACTCATTTAAATTCCAATACACTAAATTACCTAGTTATTAAATTTCATAAATAATTTATTCATGACTAAAATTAAAGTAAGTTTAAAGCATCAAAACACTTATTCCAGTATTAAGATATGAAAACTTAAAATGTCAAAGCAATTTGATAAAATTTATCTTATCACTGTCATAATATTTGCAACATGATCCGAATCTTAAACAGAAGGTCAAAAGATTTAAATTTCATTAATGTTAATGCTATGTAACGATGGTTCTATTATCGAAATTAAGCTAGTTTTTATTTAGCACCACGATTAAAAGTCTAAAGTACTAAAAATAAGGAACGAATTGCACTGAATTATCGTCTTTCGACATCTTTGTTGAAGAGAACACAAAATTAATCGCCAGAGCGGCTCACGGGATCCAAATGAAATTTGGTATCCATATAGAACCTATTTTTTTTAATTCTGCACAGATGATGTCGCAGGCAAAAGCTAATTCATAAAAATTGACAAACTAATACTTACTTATTATATTATATTATACTATAATACGTTCTAATCATCTTTTTGATTATTTACGCGTCCGTTATCAGCACAGGGACCTTTGACTAGACAATTACTTACAATTCCACACGGACGTAAATGTAAGGACGTTTAAAACAAAATTAATGACATTGCATGTTCTCAGTACTTAATATAAACTATGTAACAAATAAAAATACACCTGTACCGAAGTAATTAAATTGCAGTTCTAATTAATTTACGACCTCCCTAGGGGATGTTTTATACAAAAGTTATGCTTAGAACTTACCCCGTACTGAGTGTAACATCATTAAACAAGGCTATGAAACACATAAATCATATTAAAACTATTATTAAAATTTAATGAACACTAAACATCTTTATCATAATTTTAATGGCGATAACAATGATAGATTTTTTAATTACATATTAATTTAAGGGATACGCATATCTGTTTGTTTATATCCATAATGTCTGATTAACTTAATCAGAGATTATTAAATGATTTATTTTATTATTGTAATAAATTAATTGTAATAAATTCAAAAAATTCTAATACGAGTCTGTTTTGACTTCCTACATATGAAGAAATATCCTATTATATGTAGGTATACGAAAAAAATATAGTGTAAATAATTGTTTATTTTCAACATATTTAAAAAAAATAACGTCGCTTTTTAGATAATGTTTTACAATAATTTCAAGAAATGCGGACTCAAAAGTGATATTCGTCTAAAGTAAAGGATATTAGGTAAACTTTATGTACAAAAATATGAATGTATTAAAAATATTACACATAACTAAGCTGCCGCATTTAACGATTAAGCTTGTAAAACTGTGTACAATTGTAATGGTGGACATAAATTTAGATATTGTGACCATAAAATTTATCTCTGGCTGATAACACAATCAGAAATAAATACACTTTGGAGACAAGTTGATATGACATCTCACAAAATGTCACTATCGCTGGATTTATGTTTGAATTGTGATACGGCGCTAGCGATACTCGCTGATAATGGATAGGATTTGTAATTATTTTTAGTGTAACTCGTTGTACGCTCCAACGTGCACTGCGCTGCCTGATAATGTAATTACTATACGTACTTTACATATTCTCGTGTGTATTTGATACAACTGTGTTTGCGCATGACGATAGAACATTTCAAAATGGCGGACTTGCATATACTGCCGCACTTATAGTTTTTTAAATTAAATCCACACTCTGGTTCTCCTTTATTAACATATTCCTGACTCTGAGTGAAGCAGTAATGCCCGGTTCACATTATTCCAGTCCAGCGCTGATTTCGATATCTGGACTACTATAATTTCAACCTAACATAAGTATGTGTAACAAATATCGTCATCAGTAGTCCATTTTCCGCCAACGTCAAGGAGTCTTTTTTGTTGATTTTGTCATTCTTTTTCTTGTAATTTATATATCAGTAGCTCTTATCTGTTTCTTAACATTGCATCGGCTGTAGTTAAGTTAACTAATGACTCAACTATTCCTAAATAGCTTTTTAAGTGCATGTCTTAATGAGATAATACGACTAGTATATATACGCAACGAACTCTTGGAATACTTAGTTAAATATTTATTACTGATCGATGATTGGCCAATGAGCTATGTGAACATATAAAGACTTTCCGTAACGTAAGATACTGGAAAAAACATCAATACCGAAAAGTGACTTTTTAATTCCTGAGTCATCAATCTGCCTTTATCCCTATTGAGGGTCGGCACTGTATGTAGTACTCCTCCATACATCTCTATCAGCCGTCATATCCTAATCTACCCCCTTCCTATACATATCCTTTTTCACACGGTCATTCTATACTTTTTTGGTTCTTAAAAATGAGCTTGTTTTTAATGTTATATTTTTTCTATTCTATTTTCCTTGCGGCTATTTTTCTTCGAAGTGTTAATAGATCCCGATGTTGACCTCAATGTGGTCGTATATTTGATTGCGACGTTTATAATGTCAAACATTACTTATGTTTGTCGTACAAATAAATGATTGTTACGAAATAAAACATGTTTGGTGCGCAAATATTGACCCTTACAAGAAATCTTTCCAGTTCTTGAGTCTATAATTATATATTTGTTATGCTGTGGACTTAGACACTAATTGTTTTGGGGATGGCTGTAAAGCGTCGTCTATACAAAAGATAATTTCATATATATTATAATATATCTTTCCAATTTCATAACTTTATTATATAATATAATACATGTATGCTCGTTGCTGCATCAATGCTGGATTAGAAATTTTCGTTTTTATTTTCAGCAAAATTTGGTTATTCATAATTTTCATATTTAATTTTTTAAAGAAGAAATCATAAAACAAAGGTTATTGTAAATATATTTAGCTTAAGAATCAAACCTAAAAACCATGATGGAATAATCTCCAAGCTCTGGACGTATTTGGTTAAAAGCGTTAATCAAAGTTAATTAAAACACGTCAATTAAAACGGCAGACTATTTGAATATTGCTTTAACAAATTGGTGTAAATGAAAAGTGTCGTACTTGTAGCATAGTCCTTGCAGACCACTAGAAGCCTTGACCTGTCGCGTGCGTCTACGTTGCTACAAAAATTGTCGCTAACGATTTTACACTGGACGTTGTAAAACTACAATTTAGTTTAATTATAAGCTAACAACGCGATAAAATAATTACAATCCAAAGATCGCGGTTTTTTATTAACCTTAAATCTGTTTTAGATACCCCAAAGTATTTTTTTTGTGATTTTATAATATGTAGTTTTAAAAATAAATATCACGCGTATATTTTTATCTCCCCGCGATTTGCCATATCGCGAGACTGATTTGTACCGATGAAATGCATATACAACATAGTCTACAATTTTTTTTAATGCAGCGTCCACGGAGTCACGGGCGACATCCAGTTGCTTTATACATGTTTTCAAATTCCTTAGAAATTTTAACTTCAACCTAGCGTGATATCACAGTTATAAATAACTCAATTACTGGCCAATTCTGTCAATAAAGTAATTTATAAGTAAATCTACTTCACTGCTACAGATATGACAACTAAGGTACTTAGTGGACGCAACCATCCGCTGGAGTTATAGAGGACAAACACATTCATTTCGTTTATAGAGGGTGGTGAGAGGACGCGATAGGGAGAGCGCGGTGTGGGCCGGGGGAGCAGAGGGGGTCGTTTACGTCAATCAGACGAGCGACGTGGTGTCATACCTAACTTCATTACCCCAACAAACCTTTCTGTTAACTCATCATTGTAAACTAAAAGAATTTATAACTAAAGTGAATACCAAATAAACTCAATTTTATGAACTTTTTACTTTTACTTTAATTTTCAATAAATTGACCTTAACATTTCATATTATTGTGAACGTATACTTAATAAATTCTTGCTTAAAATAGGCTATAGGGATTTATAACCTTAACCCAAAACCATAGGCAGAGGTTACACTATAGTTTTATCATTGTTTTGATGTAATGTCGTCTAATAGATTACTTTCGTTGTAACAGGAGTATGTGGCAAATGAATTAATGGTAGCCACCTTACGTCATAGCTTGTCGCATGCGGTTCAGTTTACGTCAGAGGGTGATCGCACGAAAACACGTTAAAAACACACACCTACATTGTTTCCTCGTTACCTTTAGTAAAAGAATTGCTTGATCTTTATTTCATTTAGATATGAGACAGAGATCTTAACGTATAAATTAATATCAAGTTTTAACTCTTATTGTGGCAAGATTTCTTTTTTGAAGAAAAGCAAAAAACAAAGGTAAAAAAAAACTAAGTTAAAAATTATTTTATAGTGATCGCATTTTTTTATAAAGTTGTATGTATGGTATACTATACACAATGAACATAAGGGTTAGTTTACTGAATTTGTCACTTAATTGAAAAGAAAACCTTCTATACAATTAATTTTAAAGATAATTTAGTTAGCTAATAACACTCGCCCATGGTTAATTTTAATCACCAAAATTGAATC